TGCTTTATTTTCCTCTTTCATGATAATAATAATACATGAAAGAAGTGAGTTATGCTTTTTATTTGAAAAATTATGTATCACTTGCATAAGGCAGATGTAAGGCAGCCTAATCGTTAGTCGAGTCGACTCATCACACTTTTCCAATAAAAATAAATATTTATGATATGAAATGTCATACTTTTACTTACATTACTTTCTTGATTGTCACGTTTAAATTTATTTAAAAGTACGCATATATATCGACTACGGTTCCTTAGTTCGGCCTACTAGCAACTTTATCTTCTTTCCAAAAGCAAGTTCATAAAGAGTAACAAATATCTGCAAAAACTAACTCTATGCATGTTGAACTTGAACAGAAACACACAAACTACATAAACTTGAACTGAAATTTACTGCAGTATCTGACCAAGAGAAAACTCACTCTTGCCCATAATAATAGTAACAATGTTTATAATAATGTGAGACTTACTCATCTCAAAAATAACAAATGGGATTATTAATATAGATTTCTCATGAAATGCAGCAGTTAAAGGCCAAAGTACCAGTAAAAACGGCACATCACGAAATCTCACGCTTCGACTTTCACTTCATCCTTCTTCTTCACGAGCTCTTCTAATGCAGCCCACAATTGTGAATCGTTATAATCCTTTATAACGAGAGTTGCCCCAGCGTCAAATAGCGCTTGCTCGGGATTTCTCGTGGCTATACCTACCACAGGCATCCCAGCTGCCACCCCAGCTTTTATACCCGAAACCGAATCCTACAATTTTTTTTTTTTTTTTCAAAGACGAAAAACGAGATTTAAGTAAATATTCATATTCTAGTCTGAGTTTTTTTATAAGCTAAAAAGTGAAAAAAGGTGGAAAAGGATAAAGGTTAACAAACTTCGAAAACAAAAGCGTGCTTAGAAGAAGCTCCGAGCTTCTTGAGAGCCTCCAAATACGGGTCGGGGAACGGTTTTGCTCGTTCGCACTCACTTCCAATAACGAGCAGTTGGAAGAATTTTCCAAGGCCCGAGCTAGTAATCATCAGTTCAGCATTGTCTCGTGGAGCATTTGTGACGGCAGCTCGTTTCAAGCCATTTTCTTCCACCCATTTGCTCAGCTTGTCGAGCCCTGCAACAGGTTTTAGCTGCTCTGCTGCCAATCTGAATGAAAAAACATTAGTCTACTAAGAATTGTGAAAAAAAA